TTTTTTTTTTTTTTAATCACATTAGCTTTATAGTATAACTTTGAGTCAGGGATTGTGATGCCCCCACCTTGCCTTTGTTGCCAAGGATTGCCTTTCCTATTCTAGATTTCTTCTTGTTCAAATAAATTTTAGGATTGTTTTCTCTAATTCTGTGAGATATGTTATTGGAATTTTGATTGGACTAGCATTAAATCTGTATAATAATCATTTTGAAAGTATAGCCATTTTCACTATATTGGTTCTTCCTACCCAAGAGCAAGGGTTATCTTTCCATTTTCTGATATCTTCTTCAATTGCTTTTTTTGAGAGTTTTCAGTGTGGACGTCTTTTATAGATTGATTTCTAGGTATTTCATTTTTGGGGATGCTACTGTGAAAGGTGTTGTTTCCCCAATTTCTCTCTCAGTGAGTTTGTTATCCATGTGCAGGAAGGCTATTCACTTTTGAGTGTTGAGTTTGTATTTAGCTGTGCTACTGAATTTGCTTATTAAGCCTAGCAGGATGTCAGTTGCAAATAATGCTATTTTTACTTCTTCCTTTCTTATCTTTATTCCTTTTATTTCTTTCTCTTGTCTAATTACTCTGGATAAAGTTTCTAGGATTATATTGAATAAGAGTGGAGACATTAGACATCCTTGTCTTGTTTCTTATTTTAGAGAGAAAGATTTCTGTTTTTGTCCATTTAGTATGGTGCTAAATGCTGATTCATCAAAGATGGCTTATATCAGATTAAAATAAAGACTGTGTATTCCAATGTTCTACAAAGTTTTAAAAATTATGAACAGGTGCCGGACTTTGTCAAAAGTTTTTTTCTACATCTATTGAGATGATCATATGATTTTTGTCCTCGATTCTGTTAATATTGTGTATTACATTTATTTATTTGCATATGTTGAACCATCCCTGCATCCTTAGGATGACTCCTACTTGGTCATGCTATATAATCTTCTTGATGATTTACTACATTCTGTGTGCCAGTATCTTATTGAGCATTTTTGCATCTATATTCATTAGGAAGATTGGCCGGTAATTCTCTTAGTTAGATCCTTCTCTGGTTTGGAATCAGGGTAATTCTTGCTTCCAGGAATGAATTTCAGAGTATTGTTTCCCCTTCAGCTTCATTAAAGAGTTTCAGAAGTAAGTGGTATTAGATCTCTAAATTTCTTGTAGAATTTATCAGTGAATACATCAGGGCCTGGGTTTCTCTTTGTTGGTAGGTTTTTAATTATATCTTCAATTTCTTTGATTGATACTGGTTTACTTAGGATTTTTATATCTTTTTTGATTCAATGTTGGTAATTCATATGTATCTAGGAAT